CGGGGAAAAGTGTGGGACGATGATGAGAAGACGCGGCAGGTATCAGACTTAATGATTCCTGAGAGCCCTCCCGTGGTATAAGTGGTAGAAGATGCACAGTGAAGCTACATCTCTACGCATTGCCAAAGTATCTAGCTGGTTGGTGTCTCAGATTCATTCGACCACAAACATACTCAGGGGCGATTTTTCAACCATCAGTTAAATTTTATCAGAGGAATAACTTTGAATACTTGACAATTCCTCCATACTAATAACTGTCAAATGTCAGTCAATTTTATTGTACAGTTAAGAATTAACTAACTATTGAAAAATCAGCCCCTAACAGGTTTTAGTATGGAATAATTGTCAAATGTTTAAAGTTATTCCTCCGTTAAAATTTATCTGGCGTCGGAAAAATAGTAGTCTATTTTTAGCTTTAGTATTAGAAAATTGCATAATACTATACACCTATTCGCATTACTAAAGTACACAAATCCATGACCAGACCTAACCAATGTCCAGTTGACAGAAGTATGCAATTACCTCATGAATAATGAAAATAACGTTGTGAATTTTTCACTTAACCTTCAAGCGGGCGCGCGTAGTCGAATCGACCGCGGTTAATACATTTTCGTTCGTATTTTTATTTTTAGTTGTCATATGCATTTCTAATTTCTAGTAGCCTGTCACTATCTTTTTAGGAGTAAAATAAAAACTATTTCGTTGCTTGAAGCGATCTCTACACTCCACAAATTACAATTATTTAGGCTCTGGCGCAGTCGTTGAAAAGACTACACGCGCCTGTCGTCGAATAGGTTACGCGCGACGCCCAACGCGACATACACATGTCAATATTATCTAATTCAGCTTGGAGTTTTGGTGTTTTAAAGCATTTTTTGTTTAAATAAGTCGTTTATGGTTATCGCAAAGTACAGTAATCGAGGAATTACAAAGAGAAGACGAAGAAGAGAGTGAATCAGAGCTTAGCAACCAAGGCTCTGAAACTTCTCATCACATAGTTTTAGAAGAACATCTATCTGATGTGATATCATCCTTGTCGGATTTAGATGAGAATAATTTGTAGCTTTCGGTAATAAATAGCTGTTTTACAGGACGCGATAAAGTAACGAAGTAGCAAAATCTGAAAAATTACTAGAATACTGACTCAGACGAAAATAAAATCAAAATTAATGAGTTTTTACAGTTTTATCCTTACTTTTTATTAATTTTTTGGTCTACGTATATAAACCAACCTAACATATGTAAACGGGTCTTAATTTTTATTTTGATCCAAAGAATATTTGAGTTACTTTAGGTGACTTAATAATTGCTTCTTTTTCATAATTTTAATTACTTGTTGTGACAAATTTCTCTTTAAAGACAATGATATTGTATCTTAGTACAAATTAATAAATGATTATCCCATAATTATTGCTTTCTTGGTCTTATTCATCCCATAGGTCTATTCGGTTACGCGCGCCCGCTCCCGTTACAAAAGACCGCGCGCCCGCTTGAAGGTTAATCTACAAACAAATGTTTTGGAGAGAAACATACCTTCTAAATTAAATAATTCACAATTAATAGTACCTATTGGTATTGCCGTGACATTGTATTACAGATCAGCGCAATAAAACGCTCAAATTCTATGACGCAAATTCACAGGAACCCATTATAGACAGAAAATTTTTCATTGCACCAATCCCTTGCAACCCCATTACAATTTCCAACCTTAATTGTAATGAATAAAGTTCAAAATCCTTTTCTGCATGTTTTCAGTGTACGTTGCGACTGAATGTGACCTCACGTTACGAAAATAGCCGAAGCTCCACGAAGGCGGGCGAGTAGGAACAAGATGGCGGAAGGTTTCCCGCGCATGCTCACCCCTCGGATCATGTGACGTCACGTAGAAATAGGGATGGGGTAACTACAACATCCCTTATGAGTTGTCGATGTTTTTCAGTTAACGGAAAATAAGTGTTTTATTTGTACACTTGTAAAATACTTATATTACTATGATTGGAACATGCATGCTTTATGTATCATTAATAATATGAATAAACAAATTATTTAATTTAAAATAAAAAACCATTTTGTTATCTATTTACTATAGATACACATAATTTCACTGTCTTGATTATTGATTGACGTTAGAAATATTAATGCTTTATTTCTTTCTAAAATTAATGTGTTCTGACGGGGCCAGTTTAACCTTGATATTAAGATATTAAGAGTATGTATCTACAATATTAACTACGTAAGTATATTCATTATGTATTAGATAAAAGGCTCACTGTACTAATAGGCAATCAATTTTGCAGTACCTACGCATCTTTGTGTCACGTCGTTGTCTTCGTAAACATTATAATTAAGATAGTGAAGAGTTATGAGCGTAAAAATAGCTTCCGATGACATCGAGCGAGGTAAAATATGTTACAGAATCAATATGACTCTTGTATTACGTCGTATGTTTTATTTTCAAGGATATAAGAGTTCACTGCAAGTAAATGTAATGAGTATTTAACCCGTTAGATGTTAATTGTATTTTACTTTTCCTTTTTTTCAAACGTAAAACTATCCTAAAACTGTCCTGTCCAGATTCTCTAAATTTTGTAATAAAATTAATTACTATTGAGACAGTATATTAAATGTATTCGAATAATAAATGTCCTTTTCTACCACCTAGGACATTGCCTACTAAGAATATAGTTAAAAAAAAATAAAACAAAACAAATAAACAAAATCCCAAATATGTTATTATAATAACTATTGTGAGACATACTAAATTAAAAACTTAAATTTTTACTTAAAACACAGTACATATGTATGCACAACATCGTACAGAATGGAGATACCTATTTCACCCAATCTCGTATAGATTTTAGGATATATCCTCTTTTAGTGACCCCTTCCTAAGCTACATGCATGCTAAGTTTAAGGTTCATAGATCCTTCAGTGGCAGAATAATTAAATATTAATAAATTTTAGTCCATATTAAAAGAGATGCAGTTCAAACCGGTACCATACCGTAAGTTAATATACATTTTGTCATAATAACGTTGATTAATTCGTAAAGTGATTGATAGCTGTCACCGTAAAGAAACCTTCCTCTTCCTTATCAATTTTGTTAATCTTATCTTTTGAGGCTCGTCCAGCGTAGAGAAACACGTCATAAATAGAATTTTGTGACGTTTTTCGAAGGTTGTATCATAATTTGTTTTCACACACCAACACTAGGGCAATAGGAAGAGGAAATGTGATAGGACTTATTGAAAATTCATCAACTCGTGAATGTTTGTAAGTTTGCTCATAGTTTAAACTAACAACGTTCATTTTTATCCGTATCAAGCATAATGTTGCATCCACTGTCCCAATATCTGCCAATTAAAAAAAAATGTTCTAATGTTTCACTATACGGGAAATGAACCCAGGATTTCTTACTAAGTAGTTTTATTGTCACACTACGACGTTTACTTTTTACACATTATAAGCTACAAGTTAACCTTAAGTTATTATAACTGCTTCCTTATCTCTATTTAGTTCTAATTGAATCTGTCTAGATAGATTACCTATATTCGAACAGTGTTAATGGCCTAACACAAAATACTTACAATTGCATATGCTAAGTGTAAATAACCGGTTTTGACCTGTAAATACCACATTTATTATAATTAATGTTATCGTATGAGCAAGAAACCAATTATTTTTATTGTGATTTAATTACCTTGTTATAGCTGTTTATATTGCTTTTGTTGCAGTACATAGTACTTCTTTTTAATACATAGAGTTTTATTACAAACTAGCCGACCCGGAAACCTTTGTAAAATATTTTTTTCACCTTTCCCTAAACATCCATAAACATTTCAAGACCAAAATTAGCCAATTTGGTTCAGCCCTTTTAAAGTTTTAGCGACACTAACGAACAGATATTCATTTTCATTTATATAGAAGTGTGTATATTTTTATTCGTCTATCAAGAAGTAGCTAAACTAATCCTAACTATGGTCTGTAATGTCCAGTGATCCAGTCTAAAAGTTGAACGTATTTTCAAGGGACTACAAATGATTTTAACTCATAAGAGAAATGTTACATTGATTAACCTGATACCTGCCGCATCTTTTCGCCATCGATCCTCACGACAGCACATGCATCCCCATCATATCTATATGTGGTTGGCAGGCCACTACTGTGCGCTTCTCGCCTGGCTTTCTGCCTCGCACAGCAAAAGTGTGGAATGATCTGTCTTCGGCGATATTTCCGAACCGATACGACCTTCAAACCTTCAAAAAAAGAGCGTAGTTCTTTTTAAAAGGCCGGCAACGCACCTGTCACCACGACTCCTTTGGTGTTGCTTACCATCAGGTAATCCGTCTGCTCGTTTGCCTCCTATTCCATAAATAACATCATTTTGTTCTATTCTACCACAATATAATACGCGAACATTTAGTTCTTAATAAAACCCGAACCTGTATGTAAGTTCTTCAGTAGGCACCAATTTTAATATTCAATATTGTAACATAGAAAACACAATAATAGGTAAAATCAGCTGTTCTATCACTCGTACCTACAGGAGTGAGAATTAAATGCAAAGGTAATTCAGACAGAATGACGACACGGACAGTTATTAGTAATTAAGATATAGCATCATAGGTCACGAGATCCAAGGAACAAACGTTTTATTAATACAAGACTGGCGTCTATGAACATTAGACATTCTTGTTAGAATTATCACTCCTAACCAGGTACTTAGAATGTTCAAGTTATTTATTTAAGTAGAATTACTTGTCACAAATCCTAAATAGTAATAATAAACTCTCATTTTCCCATTACATCAAGACGATATTTATTTTCTTGACCTTTTATTAAATTTATACCTAAATTGTATCATATCATGAGTTTGTTTAAGTGATATAATTTTTTATTGTTGAACAGGAAAATCAATGATGTGACGCTAAACAGCAATTATCGATATTCTTCTAAAAACAAGGGTGTCCCGTCTCTAGCAGTGTCGATGTCGGCAGTCAGTAGAGCACGCCCGACGTACGTAGTGCGCGCGTCGCGAAACGATTTAATAAAGGAATTTCGGAAAAAAATATCGAAATTAATACGAATAATATTGTTTGTTAATTTGAATTTTGCATGGATGCTGTTCAGTGATTGGACCTTTAATTTTGTAAGTTTACATTTTTTATCTCTATATTTATCTTCGCGCACATGATTTTACGTAAGTGTAATTCAATTAAGATGTTATAAAAATTGTTTAATTTAAGGCTTTTAGGGATTTATCTCCAATACTTTAATACGAAGCAGATAAATAAACATAATTGTTTACCAGTCTATAACCGAAATCTTCATTTGAAAGTAATATTAACGTTTCTTATAATTTTGCGAAAAGTCCCTATAATATTTAAAAATCGAATAAAATAAAACAAAAAACGATTCAATTACCCTTATATATTGGTAAATATCGCAAAAACTTCATATAGTTACGTAAACCAACGAAAAAGTATCAATCGAATCGGACTTCAAAATTCGAACGCTGTAATTCGAAATTTATAATATACTTTTTTAAATACTGGTATTGTCTAAACAGCCTAAAGAAGAGAGGTTATAAATAAATAGACCTGAAGTCCACATGTTGAAAGGTGTATTTATTGATTGCGCGCGACAGACTGGTGGGCAGAGGGGGGGGGAGGTACTGGATGCGCATAGGAGCCATGGGGAAGGTCAGGAGAGTTGGGCCTCACGTGAATATTGCACGTGGCCAGTATTTAGGAAGTAAGATTTGTGCCATAGATTATATATATGTTTTTCTCAGCTTTCCTTCGCCTGGTAAATATTTGTTTACTCCATGCGACAATTTTCTTTGTTTTCGTTGTTTCGTGGAACGATCTCGCGTTCCCATAATATATGAATTGTATTCGAATTGTCCATATACTTATTGCATAATTTGTTTTTTTTATTACTTATGTAACTGCATCTATTTGTCCCGTATTCGAAGGATAACAGATCTTAGTACTTAGGCACACATTTGACAGACACCGGGCAGCAGTGATCTCCAACCCGCTGCGTCGCACAGCTTTGCGATTATAACAACTAAACTCTTTTGTTGAGGAGGCCCGTGATCAGGAGTAGATTGTCGCGAGTTCTTGATCATGCATAATACGTATTTAAGAAAAAACGTTGCCCCACACTTTTTTTAAGGGGGGAATATCATTGAATGACTGCTCCCGCCTTAGTGCCAGACTCTTACTGACTAAAAACCACCCCGTTCCTACTCCTGCACGTCGATCCGGAGCCCCGGTAACCCGTTAGGTTCTCTGCCCCACACTAGGATTTTCTCCTGTATCGTGGGTGCGTTAACAAGCATACAATTTCACATACACATGACACCCAGACCCGAAACAACAATTTGTGGATTACACAAAGAGTTGTTCCGTGCTCCGTGCCGGATAGGAACTCGCTACACTTTACGTGGCAGCCGGTTGCCCAGACACCGCACCAACCGTGCAGTTGTTATAATTACGTATATTTCTAAAACAATTTGTGGATCACACAGATATTTTTTTATGCAACAGCAAGTCACAAATGTATTAAGTTGAAGTATTTTTTTCATCATCACCAGCACAGACATAAGTGGCCACTGCTGATCAAAGGCCTCTTCTCACACGGAGAAGGTTTGAACATTAATCGCCACGCTTGCTCAATGCGCATTGACAGTTTTAAACTTATACTTGATTAGAAATTATATATGTTTCATAAAAAGTTAGGTTTCCTCACGATGTTTTCCTTCACCGGTTGTCAGTGGTGTCTGAATAATCTTAGAAAGTACATATTTTTCGGGATAAGTCACATTGGTACTTGCTGTTAATAGGTTTTGAATAGTGTCGGTGACGACGCCCGCTTCTCATGAGAAGCGGGCGTCTTAAACCTCCGGGCGAGCATGACTATTTTTCCATAAAACTCATTAACAATTACAGCGTAACATAGCCACAAAGATTACAGCGTTTAACACAGGAAGCAACATGTCAGATGTTTCATGAAAGCCATTCAGATGTTGCCTCTATAGAACAAAGCTTATCAAGGACGATGGACAATGTCCACGTGCATGGCAACATCTCATTAACATTATATTGTATGGATTTTTTACAAGTTCATTCATAAATAGAGACACGAGTACACATCTGTACGCATTCTATATATGTATAATATGTATATACCTACTGATCCACGTACAATACATATTATACCTACATACTTAAACTACTATCACAGTTGATGATCCACACACCTTAAAATTTATTTTAATGGGATAAGCCCGTAAACGTATCACCTGATGGTAAGCATTCGGCGCTGCCCATGGACACCTCAAACATTAGAGGCGTCACAAGTGCATTACCGGCCTTTTAGGGATTAGGAGTTTGAGGATTGTTGAGGATTTAGGGATTGGGAAAGTCGCGGAGAACCTAATGGGTTACCGGGGCTTCGGCTCGAAGTGCAAGAGTAGGAACGGGGTGGTTTTCAGTCAGTAAGAGTCTGACACTCCCTCCCGCCTCACCCAGGCAGGAGCAGTAATTCAGTGATTTCTCCCCCTTAAAAATAGGGATTGGGGAAGGGGGGGGGGAAGTACCTCAGTCACACGACGAAACACAATGTAAGCGTTGTTTCACGTCGGTTTTCTGTGAGGCCGTGGTATAACTCCGGTCGAGCCGGCCCATTCGTGCCGACGCATGGCTCTAAGTGAAAGTCTTTCTGTAATGAAATTAATCAAAATGTGTTTAGTAGTTATTGTGTAATAGACAAACAAAAAGTTCTTATTCTCGTTCTTGCATTCGCCGTTTCAACGTTTGACGTTCTCATTATTACAACATATCAGTAGCATGTCGCGGGTCGCGGAATGCTGCTCATGAAAATGAGCCCCTAGCATGGCTAGAAACTAGTCGAGTTCCTCGTCAAATAATTACTTGAGTAAGCCGAAAACATAATAATTAATTTAGCATGTCTCACGGAAATTATAATACACCATATTTATAATTTGACTAAACCCTTTGGGCATTCAGCCTTGAATTCATCACGAGAGTGAACGGTGAAGGTTGAACCAGTATGGAGTAGTATTATATCCAACCAGGGAACCTCGAACTTGGTGTTCACCAGTGATTATACCACTGAGTCACTAATACATAGTTGCCATGTCATGATATAGAGCAAACCCGTGGCAATAAACTGTGCAATTTTAGTGCTAGCAATCAGATTGTTTATTTGCCTATGCTAATAAAGTCGGTAGTAAAACACACGAATTGTGGCACTTACGACCTTCTTATATCGTGTCGCTATTTTTAGGGTAACTTTTTGGTTCTAATAGTTTAGTCGTCTTGGGTTAGACCCTCGAATGATCTGTTTTCAATGGTTTAAATATTCATTCTCCACGGAATCTTGGTCCTTGTCATGATTTTTTTAGCCTTGGATAGTCGGATCTGTCGAAATGTATAGCTAGCTACCTTTAAGTGTGGGAGAGCCATGCTTCGGCACGAATGGGCCGGCTTGACCGGAGTGATATCACGGCCGAGCGGAAAACCGACGTGAAACAACGCTTGCTTTGTGTTTCGTCGTGTGAGCGAGGTTACCGGAGGCCCAATTACCTCTCCCCCTTCCCCAATTCCTGAATCCCCAAGAATCCTCAAATTCTTAATCCCAAAAGGCCGGTAATGCGTTGCAAGAGCAACAGCTCTGGTGTTCCAGGTGCCTATGGGCGACGCCGATTGCTTACCATCAGGTGGCCATGATCCGTCTGCTCGTTTTCTGGGCTATACCATAAAAAACCAGTTTTCAAAATGTTTGGTTTGCTTGAAGTCTTTACCTGTGCAATATTTGGCGATGGCCTTTTTTGAACTAAATAACAGAACTGCTGAAAAATACATTCACTTACCTCTTCTTGGGCCAACAGGCATAATGTTTCGTTGGTACCTAGTCAGGAAACAAAGTAACTAATCAATACACATGATATAAATGTATGTAGTATGTCTATAGATACAGTATGTGGTACATGAATTAGATAGATAGCATTGATAATAATTATTTATTGTCGCGTTCATTACTAGTTAGATATCAGGCATAGATTTCTATAAAAGCAAAAATCGATTAATAGTCGTGAATGTCGGAAATAGCCGTGTTGATATAATATAAAGTATAATTATAATAATTGTAGATATTAAAACCACAATGTCTCTGTACTAAATGGAAGAGGAAAGAAAGAAAAAAAACATTTATTTGACAAATAGGCACACAAACATCTCCGAATCCTCCATAATCCTCAAATTCCCAATTCCCAAATAGCCGGTAACACACTTGTAACGCCTTGGTGTTTCGAGTGTCCATGTGCGGCGCCGATTGCTTACCATCAGGTGATCCGTCTGCTCGTTTACCGACTTATGCTATATAAAAAAAATATATATAAAGATTATAAAAAATACAGATAATTATATAATACAAATTTATAGTAAAAGGGTAACGACAAGAACAAACCAACAACAAAGAATAACAAAACATGTACAGTACAACAATAACAGATATTAAATATTAAAAAAAATAAAACACAACACCCATACAAAATAATTTTGTCGACTGTACCCGAGACCTCTCAGTAATATTGCAGTGCTTCATAGACTACTATAGATATATTACGTTCCACACTCGAGCCAAGAACTTAATTGAGTGAAAAATAAATATCTATTCAATATAATTATGTATCTATCAAGGCGGAGCTGCGGAGGACTTGACGGGTTACCGGGGCTCCGGCTCGAAATGCAGGAGTAGGAACGGGGTGGTTTTTAGTCAGTAAGAGTCTGACACTCCCTCTCGCCTCACCCAAGCGAGAGAAGTCATTCGATAATATGCCTCTTCAAAAAAAGGTATCTATCAAGATCTATCTATTCTATCACCATCAGAAGTATTCGAGAGTCTCATGCTAAACTATAAGCCTCCTTTCTATAAGTGGGCTTGCCATAAATTCCACGCTCGACAGAGCAGCGTCTAGGATTCAGTGAAATGTGTACCCCGATGAGTTAATATGTGCCTATCCCACCATGGCCCCAGCATGGTAATATTAAACAGTTTCAAAGTAATAATGGTGTTGTTATGGCAATTACGGAGCCTGTCAACCGGGTGGCCAGTTTG